AAGGTTGAGAAACACTCCCTTAAAATATATAGTTTGCTTATGTTGAGTTCCAAGGACCTTTTTAATCAGAATTATGCTATGTAATTACAAAAAGGTGGACACTGCAATCTTGAATTGCACCCCACTCAAAAATACACCTGGCACCTTCTTGAAAATCTTCAGCACCAAGTTGGCTGAACATCCTTACTGTTCAGCTTGGAGGACTCCAAAGTTGAAAGTGTCTGAGACATCGAAGGCCTTGCTAGCACAAGATGAAGAAACATCTTTTTCCTTTACTTCCTTTGTGAAAGAAAAAAAATCCATTATTCAGGCTGTAGGACTAGTACTTTTCTCCCCGAGCTGGAGATGTACCCAGGAGAAAGTTTGATCAAGACATTTTCCTACCGCATCTCTTCTGAGTCCTCTTTTCAGAAGAAAGCTGGGAAGAGTTTTTGACATTAATTTTCCCTCTTAGAGAAGACAAAAGTCTCCTTCTGAATTATGAGAGGGGAGGAAGTCCACAACATTTAATGGCCCCTGGTGGAGCTAAACTACTTTTTAGTTTTTGTGGGCTTTTAAAACTGTATAATCCCCTCAATTTGCATTTTTATTTGTTTGTTTGTTTCTGGTTTTTTGTTTTTTGTTTTAATTCATGTTCATATCAGATTTTAAATAATGTATTGCCTACCTACTGATGTAGCTTTCTGGAAACAAACGGAGAAAGGGTGGTGTAGAAATATTCCAAATAAAGATGTGCTCATGATTAATTTGGGGTGGGGCTTGATTTAACATCCCATCATTTTTTAAAAATTTATTTATTTATTTATTTATTTATTTATTTATTTATTCATTCATTCATTCATTCATTCATTCAATTTGTACGACCACCCATCTCAACAAGTGACTCTGGACTGCGAACAATCTTAAAATAAATTCCAGTCACAAATGCAAAAATTAAAATACAGAGCAACTGAGGAAGATACCACAATCCGTAGTTGCTGGTACAGCCAGGAGACTGTGGCTGTCTTTTACTATTTTATCTATCTATCTATCTATCTATCTATCTATCTATCTATCTATCTATCTAGCTATCTATCCATCCATCCATCCATCTACCTATCTATCTATCTATCTAGCTATCTATCCATCCATCCATCCATCTACCTATCTATCTATCTATCTAGCTATCTATCCATCCATCCATCCATCTACCTATCTATCTATCTATCTAGCTATCTATCCATCCATCCATCCATCCATCCATCCATCCATCCATCCATCCATCCATCCAATTCATATAGCCAACCATCTGATATATATATGAATCATATATATGACTTTTTGCTTTTAACCAAAGTTTATCACAGGAACCCAATTTCTGCTCATTCATGTTCTGTTCACAGCTTCATCTCTTCTGCTAGACTGTGGAAAAAATAAGTTTGGGTTTGGGTTTGGGAGGTTTCTTTGTTTTTAATTTAGATTAAGGTTCAGCTTGACATCTTTCTTGTTGGAAAATCTACATGAACCAGCTCTGGGGGAATGAATCAAAGCCAACCGCGGGGTAATGAGGCAGAGCTTAAACAGTTCAGCTGAGGGACATTTAAAAAGTACACAAATGAGCCCAAACGCCAATATTGCCTGATGTATCACAGGATGTAGAAAAAAAGCAGAATAACACTTCCCATCAGAAAGCCCATTTGGGGGCAAAGTAACACTAACAGACAGCTAATTCCTGCCAATTTGCTATTTTAGCTTTCTTCTACTGGTGTCTACACTACAATGCCCATCATTCTCAGACACCACATCTAGAAAATGCCAAACTGGTGAAAGCTGGATTAGTTTCTTCCCTCTTTTTTAAACTCACCATGAAAGGGGAAGCCATTTAGATTTTTTATCTGAGCAACAACATCTCTTGGGCCAATATGCTAGAGCAGTGTTTCTCAACCTTGGCAACTTTAAGATATGTGGACTTCAACTCCCAGAATTCCCCAGCCAGCACGCTGGGTGGAGAATTCTGGGAGTTGAAGTCCACATATCTTAAAGTTGCCAAGGTTGAGTAACACTGCTCTAGCATATTGGCCCAAGAGATGTTGTTGCTCAGATAAAAAATCTAAATGGCTTCCCCTTTCATGGTGAGTTTAAAAAAGAGGGAAGAAACTAAT